ATATTGTTTTTGAAAGGGAAGCCTGTGTATGAAAACCATGTGGATGTTATCTTGACAATTGGAGATGAGTGGCTATTGATTTCATTCATTAGGAAATTCTATAGGAAAAAGATGACAGCTCAATGTCATCAATATGGCCAAGTTGTAGGATTTTGATATGAATACCATTGATTGAGTGATGAAATATCTAGAGAAAAATGAATAATGATCTCCAGTTAGAACTGCAATAGTAACGATGTTCACCTGGTTTCTCTACATCATCCATTTATTCCCTCCACATATATTTGTGGAGTGACTCTTATGGCAAAAGCTTGTTGCTATAAAAAAGTACATGATTAATTGGGTATTTAATATATAGAATACATAAATAATGATTTTAACATTTCTATTTTCTTAAGCTTTGAAATATTCCATAAGCTAATCCATTAACAATTTTTCTAAACAGTCACACATAGCCTGTAGGTTTTCCTTCATAAACATTGGTCCATAATGTAGTGGGAATCAGAAATTCTGTAAATGACATTTAAAACCATTCTCACAAATATTTGGGTAAAATGGCAATGTGACTCATGTGGTTTAAAATATATGGACAGCTTTCAGATAGAAGGTTATATGAGTATAGTTGTACAGAAAGGCATGAATATAGGATTGTAATAGGATAATATAGATGATCTAATGAGGTGAGTGGAAATCAGCTTCAGTAAGATAAGACTTGATGGATAATCAAGAATTCATTAGACTTTCAAGAAAGTTGAATTCAAGGATAGGGAAGAAGGTCAAAGGACAAGCTAGAGTACACTGCATTCCATAAACCAATTGTTGAACAGTCACTGTCTCCCTGACTTAGACCTTTATCAAGTGTGGCAGATATAAGTTAAACATAAAAGAGTAGAAAATGGAAAACATATGATGATTCCTTGGCCCTGAATGAAACTTCCCAGCTCAACAGTGCTTTTCTGAATGGTTACAGCAAACAAAGAAATAAACAACCTTTATCTTTAATAACAGCACATATGCCTAAACTGCTTCCTGCCAGGGTCTAGACATTTAGATTTATAGTTATGTATTTATCAAATAAGCATGTATAACTGTAGGTTATCTCGCATAATCTTCAGTATTGCACTATTAACAAAATTACATGTTAGTCAATAGGTTTTCATAAGGCTCCTCTACATGTGCTTAGGCATTGGGGGTATATCCTTAACTAATCTAAAAGATTTCAAGATTCTTGTCATCTTTCTGTCTCTTTACAGCCATTAATACAGCTTCTGACACATAAAAGCAACATGTAAATGTGCATTGCATTAAATTATATACACATGAGTAGAAAATAAGAATAAAATAAACAATAACAGTTCAAGGTAATAAGTGCTAAAATGAATATAAGTGTATATCCATTTCATGCATATAAATGTATAAAGATGAATATGGACTGTTGGGTCCTGGAGACTCCCTGTAATGTTAAACAGAAAGACTGGAAACAGACAAGTAGGCATCTGGAAGGAAAACAGAAGTAGGAAAGGAAAAGGGGGTCACTACCTCATAGAGACCACTAGTAATAGAAACCACTGAGATACATTCATAGTGGCAATGCTCCTTGGGTTGTCTATTACAGTAAAATGTCCTGTTGCCATTGATTCACTAGCCTGTTCAATACTGTGAAGTTAGTTTTGGGTTTCAGGTAACATGGACACAGAAGGGTACTCAGAGGGCCATTTCTTCTGAAGTTCAACAATGAATATTTAACAGAAAGGACTTTGCTAATTGCCAGTGGTCACTTCTTCAAGGGCAATCTTCCTTCCAGCTACTCAGGTATTTGCTGCAGCCTGTCTCCCACTCATGTATTTATTTTGGAGTTTCCTGGTTATAAACCCACCTGTGTATGTGACATCAGAGGCTGGTTCTCTTGGGAACTAGATGCACTGCACAGAATAGCATTAAAGTACAGACACCAAAATCACAAAATCATCTCTTAGCCTCATTTAAATAAGAATCACTTTATTATTCTTTACTAATTGACCATTTATGGAAAAAAATCAATTATCATTATTTTCTTTTGTAGGGTCAGAAATCCACTTGTCACTGAAAATATGGTTTAACCTTAGGAGAAAAATGCCTTTAAATTATAAGCAACCTAAATAAACAGTTACAAAACACTTCACACTTAAGCCATTCTGACACATAAAGATTTCCAAGCATAAAGATTTTAGAAATGATCATGCAGTTTAAGACAATAGGTCATTTCTTAAAATTTTTAAAAATCTTCTGTTTAGTTTTTTAAAGGCTTTATTTGTTTATTTTTAGAGAGGAAGTGAAGTACAGAAGGAGAAAAACAAACGTGTGGCTGCCTCTCACATGCCCCCTACTGGGGACCTGGCTGGCAACCCAAGCATGTGCCCTGACTGGGAATCAAACTGGTGACTCCTTGCTTCACAGGCCAGCACTCAATCCACTGAGCCACACCAGCTAGGTTCAGTTTAGTTTTGTAAGTCATGTTCTGCTAAACTGAGAATTTACATCTGAAAACCAAGGGGTTTAGATAAAGTACATTAATATTTACTATAATCAGCTTATAGAAACTAATGAACTAATACTTACTTTCATCAACAAAAAACTAACAAAGTAAATTCTGTAGACCTGACAAAATTATTTTATATGTTTTAGTAATGAATGTCTATTAAATAACTTTATGGATGATAATTTTATATTACACATAAATACTAAAAATACTACTAATAATAATTATGGTTATAATGATTATAGTTACAATTTATTAATACTGAGCAGAAGTGTTTATACTCTACCAAACACTATGGCAACAGGTTTAAATAAATTATGCCATGTTATTATCTCCCATTTATTTATAAGGGAATGGAAGATATTGGAAAATCTTTGAACTATGATTTGAATACAGGCGTACCTGACTCTTAAGCCAGTACCTTTACTCAACCATTTTGGCTCTAAAGAGGACCTGAATACCTCTTCTAATAAGAGAAATTGAGTCTTGTGCTAGTTTTTACATTCCCCTTACAAACTAAAAATTACCCACATCAAAGCACAAATCTAATGCCAGAACACACCAGTTGGCTTCTCTGAGCCCAGGCTGCAGAGAATCTGGAGCTCTTGTCTCCTTTTTCTCCCAGCTGTGATGCTGCTCTGGAGCCCTCTGATATGTTAGAGCAAGGATGCCTAGTAGGGTTCCTTTCCCTGAGAAACCATATTTTTTAGTGAATGTAAAGAACAATCCTTTTTTCCCAAGGCAGCCATGACTGAAACAGAAAATGAGGGTGATTTTTTTCTTTTTGTGTCTTATTTTTAGGCTCTAACTATGTCCTCAATATATTAGACATGTAACTCAACAGGAATTGAGTACAACTAGGTGAAAGAGAAGAGACAAAAGAAGAAGTTAAGATGAAAAAGAACACATACGAACTTGCCCAGAGAGATTCCAGGAGCTTTGGGGACCTTCTGGGTATTAAGGACAAAGGAGAAAAGTCTGATCTTAAGAAACAAAATGAGGCTAAGGGACTATAGGTAGGAATAAATACTAGACTAAGGGAAAATATTATGAATTGAATATTTCACATTATTTGACTTATTAAAATGAAGTGGAGGATTGCTTCTACTTATTAAAATACCTAAATAAAATCAATATAATCTATATAAAAGAATGAATTAATCACATTAAGTATAATAATCATGTATACCAGGTAATTCATATGATGTATTTTATTTAATTTAAAAGCAACCTTTAGATATAGGCTGTATTGCAATGTTTGTTTACCTTTGGGGAAACTGAGCCTTATGGGAGGTTAAATACCTTGCTAAAGGACATGCCACTCATAAGTGACAAAACTGGAATTTGAAGCTAGATGGTGTGATTCCACAGAATGAATACTGTTCTCTACATCCAGTAGTCATAACAAGAAGTGTTATTTTCATTTCTACTATTTCTACTGAGACTCTGATGCAATTCTAGACTGTTAGAGCAATATGCTGGCTGGATTCTTAATATGGTAAATAACTTACTACTCTCAGGAACACAACACTACATCAACATCAAGTTAGTTAACCATAACCTCTTAGGGTCCCCTGTGCCCAATACCATAGAGTCACAATACAGTCTCATCAAAAGTATGGATTAATTTAACTCTGAAGTAAATTCCATGTTGAAAATATGGAAGAGTCAAGTTTTATGAGCATGGGAGCTGCTTTCTGGGCCATGAATCCAGGAAGGAAAATTGATAGCAATGATGTAAATGTAACCAAAAGTTTCAGCATTGGAAATAAATGTTTCCTCAATGTTACCTAAACAACTGATAAAGAACATAAGGCTCATGTGTTGTATTATGTATGTACCTTAAGGAAGTTATGCTAAGTGAAATAGCCCAGTCACAGAAGGACAAAAATGCATGATTCCAATTACACGAGGTCCCAGGAGCATTAAAACACATACAAGCAGAAGTAGATCCCAGTGGCTGCAGGAAGAGAACTGGGGAGTTCCTTTCAGTGGGTAGAGTGTCAGACATGTGAACCAAAACACTGTGCCTGTATTTAATATACTGGGCTGTAAACACACAGATTTAACAGGTAGATCTCATGTTAAGTGGTCCTACCACAATAAAAAATGTTTTTATGAAATTAGCATAACTTTGATATGACAAATATATCCCCAAGAAAGAAAATTACAGACCAATCAATACATTGAAAAAAAAAGAGCATAGGGATAAACAGACATAAACCAAATTATATATTTCACGATGTGCAGTGGTAACATTGAGTTCAATTTGGGATATAAGAAGTACACATAGTTATACATCTTTCTATGTTATCAATGGCAGTGCCTTTGAGGAACTCATACAAACTGAAGCTGCCCAGTCAACTACACTTCCTCTGTCCTCATTATGGTTGTTTGTAATCAGGATGCTGTCATGTGAGGCATAATAAAAATTATAAAATCTTTAGATTCCTTTTACCCCCAAAACAAATAAAATACTTACATTATTAACAGTAGAGCATACTTGTTTCGGTCCATAAAGTCTTTGGGAAAGGACAACTGTAAAGGAAGTTCTTTTAAAGAAAGAGCAAAATATTAAAGATGTAGAGTCATTTACATGTAAAACTATAAGATGAAGAGAAAGTTGTTCTTAAATAACATAGCATGCACAAAACTTTACCATAGTCATCAATATGAAGCGTTTTAATTTCTGACTTTACTATCTTCTTCTTCAGGATAGCTTCCTTCAGCATAGAATTGCTTTCCAATATAAAATATTCTACAAATCAAAAAATGTAGTGTAAATTACTAACTGCTATGTGTTGATCAAGAATCAGTGCAAAACAAGAAATAATTATGCAGCTGTTACATTTGGCAGGCACTGTGCTAAAAGCAGTGATTAAATGCTTGTAATTCCTCTCCTGGATAACCACAACAGTTTTCTAACTGAATTCCAGTAACATTTTCTCCAGTTGCCCCTATACTTAGAATTAGCATTTACATTTTCAAATGCAAGTCTGATCATGTTACTACTCTGCTTATGAATATTTAAAAGAATACAAAATTATCAAGCATGCAATGAAATGAAATTCATGAAGCCAGGATTCCAATACAAAATAACTAAGCATGCAAAAAATCAGAAAAAAAATGCTACATATAATCAGTTCAAAATTTAATCAATAGAAACCAGAAATGATACAAATGATATAATGGATAGAAAAGTATATTAAAAAGAGATTTTAATTATATTTCATATGTTCAGTAAGGCAGAAAAAGCACGAGGATGTTAAGGTGAAATATGAAAGAAATTTTAAAAAGGGCATGTTAAATTTCTAAAAGTAAAAACTGCATAATCTGGGGTACATGAAAACTATGAGATCTAGGATGCAGAAATCCTGAGTAGGATTAAGAGCATATTAGACAGCACAGAAAACAATGAATGTATCTGGCAATGTAATCATAGAGAGTATAAAATTTTAAACACCAAAAAAAGTGAAAGGAATAATCAACAAATATGAAGAGAGCATCAGTAACTCTCTATATTTTTAAGTGATATATTAAATCTATAGATTTATTGGGGAACTTATACATACTTTAAATTATGATCTTTCTAGTCCATAAATGTGTGCGTGTGTGTGTGTGTACCCATTTTCATCTTTAATTTCTCCCCAAAGTATTTTTTTTTATATCTTAGGAGACTTGTACTTTTTTAAAATTAATTTTTGAGTATTATATGATTTCTGATATTATTTCAAATAGTATTTTGAGCTACTTTTAAATTTTGCATTGTATCATAGCTTATAAAGTAGTTGATTTTCTATATTGGTCTATACCTATAGCCAAGATAAATTCATTCATTATTTCTAATAGTTTTGTGAGTGGGTGTGGATTTCATATTTTTATTTGTTTTCCATTTTATTTACAACTATATCCTCTGCAAATACAGACAGTTTTTCTACTTAAATATTTTTTTCCTCATTTCACTGGCTAAGTCCTCTAACACAAAGTTGAATACAGGGTAGGAGAGCAGATACTATTTTTCCCAATCTTGGGTAAAAGCACTGTGTTTCAATATTAAGTTTAATGTTAGTTGTGGTGTTTTTGTAGATACCATTATTGAGTTAAGGAACTTCCTGTCTTTTCTGAGTTGTTAATATTTGTTATTATTATTATTGCTAAAATTAATCAAATGCTGTCTTCTGAAATATTTGGGTTTACAACATACTGTACTGAATTATATTGATTGATTGTTGAATATTATAGATATCATGGATTCTTCAGTTAAACCCCATATAATCATAATATGTTATCCTCTTATAAAATGCTGGATTTTACTTGTTAGTATTTAGTTAAGAATATGTGTATCTATATTCACAAAAATTTAATTGTTCTGTCTGTAAAATATAAATGTTGGATTTGGAATCTGGTTAATACTGGCATTATATTTTCTAAACATTTATGTAAGCTTAGTATTCATACATTAAATATTGCACAACATGTACCAGTGATGCTAACTAAAGTGGGAGTTTTCTTTGTGGAAAGAATGTTAACAGAATTAATAATTTTAGTAGATAACAGGATATTAAATATCATGTCTCTTCCTTTTTGAATGTTTAACACTTTATGCATTTAAAGAAATTTATCTGTTTCATATAAGATGTCAAATTTACTGCTATAAAACCACATAAGGTTCCATTACTAACATTCTAATATCTGTAGAATCTGTTGTTGGCATCACCTATTTCTTTAATAAAAATGGTAAGGATAGTGTACTTTTAATGTTGTGAATCCATCTAGAATTGTATTGATCTTTTCAAAGAAAAATCTTTTGGTTTTTATATATACTCTTCTACTGTTTGTCTATTTTCTATAGAATTTATTTCTACTCCTGTTTTATTTTATTCCCTTAATTTACTTTTCATTTATTTGCTCTTCTTTTTCTAGTTTTTTTTTAAGATGGAATCTCAAATTATTGATTTTAAAGTTTTCCTTTCTTATAAAGTAACAATTTAGAGCCATAAATTTATCTCTAACCACAATGTTAGGTTTCCCCACATTTGGATTAGTTTGTTTTCATTTTCACTTGACTCAAAATATCTTTAAGTTATTTTTCTCAATTCTTCTCTAGTCACGCCATTTGTGTCCTTCCAGGACAGGCTTATGTCCATCACATATTGTCTTTAAGGTGCATATATTATTGCATATAAGCTGTATCTGTGCTCTTTACTAGTTCTCTCAAGTTGTGAGTCTCATGACAAAGCATTCTCAGCCTCTTGGTTTTTTATTTTGGTTTCACTTTTGTCATTCTAGTTTGAGGACTTTATTTCATTTTTCATTTGTATGTATTTTTTACATTTCTTTATTGTTCAAGTACAGTTGTATCCATTTTCCCTTTCAGGGATCATTTCTGTAGTTCACTTCATCTGTATTTTAAACATTTTGTTTCTATTATATTTTGGTTTGTTTTCTTCTGATAAGTCCACAGTCATTCTTGGCTTTGTTGCTATGTATGTAATATGTGGATGCAATGTGTTTCTATTTTGCTGGTTTAACTTTTTTTTTATCACTGTTTTTCTATTGGGATTTATCCTGTTTGAGGGTTTTTGAGCATTTTTTTCACAAGGGATTAAGCAAAGAAAAAAATCATAGACACAGACAACAGTATGCTGATTAAAAGAGGGAAAGGGGGCTGGGGAAATAGAAGAGGGTAGAGGAGGGATAAATGAGACATTACTTGGGGTGGTACACAATACAATATTACAATGATGTATGATAAAACTATATACCTGAAACCCATATAATTTTGGATGTGGCCAGTATTTCATCAAATATTTTTCCATGCATCTCCTTTCTGATTCCAATTTAAAAATATAAATTAAGTTGGGCTATGTTCATTTCTTTCTTTTTTTTAAAAGATTTTATTTATTTTTAGAGAGAGAAGGGAGGGAGATAGAGAGAGAGAGAAACATCAATGTGCGGTTGCTGGGGGTTATAGCCTACAACCCAGGCATGTGTACCCTGGCTGGGAATTGAACCTGGGACACTTTGGTTCCCAGCCCGCGCTCAATCCACTGAGCTACGCCAGCCAGGGCTGGGCTATGTTCATTTCTTTCATTCTTTTTTTGTCCTCTGTGACTCAAGTTTTCTTTGATAATGTTTAAAATTCACTGATCTTCTACAAGATTTAATCTAATTTTGGTACTTAGTAATTAAGGTTTTTTCAAATATATTAAGTTTATAATATTGCCTTAAATAACATATTCTGTTGTTTCTTTCCATCTTAATTTTTCTTGATCTTTTAAAAATATTTATAGTAGCAGGTTTTTCATATTTGTCACTGGGTTCCATCATCTCTGTCATTTCTGAGTCTGTCTCTATTCACTGTCTTTTTTTTTCTGCTAGTAATGAGTTGTATTTTCTGGTTTCTTCACACAGCCAGTAATGTTTTATTAGATTATGACTGTTGCGATATTAATGTTGGTGAGTTCTGGATTTCGTTCTCTTATTTTAAAAATATTAGACTTTGTTCTTCCCCACAGATGTTTTAGCCTATTTGCAGGTCAGCTTAATCATTTCAAAGTTTTTAAAAATATCTTTATTAGTGTAGATTTAAGTGACCTTTGCTGTATGGATAGTTCATTTCTGCTGAAGTCCAACTCTCCCTGGATCTCTCCTAAACATCACAGTATCCTGCATTGTGCAGGTCTGCATTTCCTAGGCTCAAAGAGTGTCTTCCTATAATATTTACATTGTACGTTTTTAGGTATTTTCAACAATAGACTCAAGATGAATCTCCAGTGTCTTTTCACCTTCCCAATATTCTAAAAGCTTTGGTCTTTCTGAAGTCCAATTTCTGTCACTATTCTGACTCCACAATAACATACTTTAGTTACCTCTTGATATCCAAAGGGGACTGCTTTCAGAACCCCTGAAGAATCCACAATCAAAGGATGTTCAATTCCTTTATATAAAATGGCATAATATTTGCAATAACTTTTCATACACCCTCCTGTATACTTCGAATAATCTCTAAATTATGTATATTACCTAATAGAATGTAAGTGTTATGAAAATAGTTGTTACACTGGGAATAAGCATGGAAAAAAGAAGTCTGTAAACATTCAGTACAGCTGCAACCATCCATAGGTCTAACTACATATTGCCCATCAGCAACAATGTAACATTTTTCCTTGTATGTTTTCTATCCACATTTGATTGAACCCAAGGATACAGAACTTGCAGATACAGAGGGGCAATGTGTACTCTTCTTGGATTCCTCCTCATTTCACTAGAATTCAGAAAATGAATCCAGCCAGAAAGCCAGAGCAATTACAATTAAATTTCACTTGTTTCTCTTCTTTCAGAGATGTACAACCTATCCTGTTGTTCCATGCTTGGAAATTGTTGTTTTGTATATTTTATCCAGTTTTAATTTTATTTTTTCTTTTCTTTTCTCCTTCTTTCTTCCATTTTTCTTCTCTCCTTGTTTCTCTTTCTTTCTTTTTGGCAAGAGGCATGTCTACTAGTTACTCCATGGACAGATTAAAAATTCTTTAAATTGTCAGTGTTTATCACTGATAATTTATTGTTAAATTTAAACTCCTTAGAATGAGACATAAGACTTTTATGATGTCTCTAGTCTATCCTATAATTTCTATATTTTTGCTTTTTAAAATATGCTTTGTCCTATCCATATTGAACCAGCTTTTCTTGAAAGTCCGAGCATTTTCATGCTTTGTTATGTTTGTACATTCACATTCCTTCTTCCTTAAATGCCTT